CCGGGTGCGCGGCCGAGCTGCGCCCTACTGCGTGGCGGAGCTCCCCGCAGGCCCCAGCGCGCTGTCCCCACTGCCGCCTCCGCCCGGCCTCGATGGACTTCCGGGAGCTGGCAAGCAAGGCGTCCCTCAGCCGTTGTCGGGTCCTTGCCGGCGAGGCTGGCTTCGCAGCGCTGCCGCGTCCCGCCGCCCGCAGCAGCGACGCGGATCCCAGCTCGAAACCCACGCTGCCGACGACGACCCGCACCGGCTCCTGCAGCAGCTAGTGCTCTCCGGAAACCTCATCAAAGAGGCGGTGCGCAGGCTGCACTCGCGACGGCTACAGTTACATGCAAAGCTTCCCCAGGGCCCGTTCCTCGCGCCCCTGTCAGCCCCGGTGCATGAGCCCCCCTCGCCCCGAAGCCCTCGCGCGGCCTGCGGTGACCCTGGCCCACCCGGGAAGAGAGCGCAGCTCAGAACTGGGGACGGCGTTCTTGTCCCTGGCAGCTAACGCCGCCGAGTGACCACCGCGCCAACCTGTGACTAGATAGCTGGGAGTTCCCAAGGCCTGCAGACAGGTGGAGAACTTGCACTTTTGGAAGCGGAAAAAATCAGCTGATGAGGACGGGGAACCAAGCAAATCGAGAATGTTTTCACGTGGGACTGAAGTCGAGGGTGGCCGATCCAGAACTGGGTTACCCCTATTTAATACAGACTTTACAGAGCGCACCCCAAGCTCACAGTTAGTAGGACTCTTTATTTGGCCCGAATCGACTCGACCTGGCCGCACTGGACCCGACCAGCCAGCCTCTCCTCACCGGCCCGGTGACCACGTGGCCGTGGTCCACGCTGCTGAAGATCGCCAAGCCAAGCGTCAGAACGGTGGAGGATGGTCCCGGTTACTTGCTTTACCAGTTCAGGCTGGTTCCTGATCTACTTTGGGATAAGGGAGCATGAGCAGACGATAATTTCAGGGAACACCCCAATCTGCGAGACTTGAAAATTTACGACACTTTAAAAAAATCACCTCCAGTCTTTGGGGATGTTTTAATATAGGACATGCGGTACCACGAAAGTACTGTCCTAGGGTTGAATAGGAGAAACCTTTTTCTCTGCCCCGTGTTTGCAACTGACTGGGGTTTTCAGAGTGCTGGGGAGGGAGAGCAGTGCCACGGGGGAGGGTGGGAGGCGGTGGCCAGGGGTGAGGGCTGGTGAGGCCCGGAGTGAACCCCTCGATCCTCTCCAGTCTGTTTCCACAGCCCACCGCCCCTTCTTGGGTTCAAGGTCACCTTTTCCTGGCACGCACTGTGGGCTGCAGCAGGGACCCTAACCCTGTCCGCCGGTGCCTGGAGAAGAGCGCGTTGTTTTGCAAGTGCTGGAGTCTCTTGAGGATGCTCGCGCTGCTGCCACCTTGAGTGGGGAGACGGAGATGTGGCCTAAGCTTGTGCTTCTTGCGGGCGGCCACCGCCCCTGGCCGACCTCCAGGCCTTCACGGAAAATATCCAGAGATGTGGCCCAGGTCCCTCTCGCTCAGCTCTCCTGCCCTACTCAAGTGGGTGAGCGCTGGAGATTCGGGATGGGGGGCGGGAGGCTAGGGAGGCGCCACGTGACGGTCACTCCAGGGACACAGCCTCTCACGGCAGCTTATTATGGGCTCTCCCCGGACGTTTGTAATTCCCTGGATAGGCAGAGTTGATTTCCTTCCTCGGCCCCTCCCCCAGCCGTGCCAGCTCTCCTTTGTAAGTGAAGGAAACCGAGTAGAAAATGTGACCCTCCAAACGGAGAAGCTGCAGGCTTTACCATTGTGAACATGGTGAAGTGCTTGGAACATTGTTCACTCACTCTGAGGGTGCTAAGACCGTTTTGTTTAGTTTTATAGTCAATGGCTTGTTCAGCATCCAGATGAGGCTGTTGACATATCTACACTTCGCACCGGAGTGTCTGGAATTATGGCTATCCTGATTATAGGATTTTAACTTAACTGAAATACCTGGTTCGAATAAATATGTTGGGTTTTTTTGTTTGTTTGATTTGTACTTGCCACTAGTGGGAAATATGTACAGAACACATGTCTCTGATCTCCATAAACATGAAAACTCTTGAAATCCCTGTCAGCCTGGCCTGTGTGTGGATGGTAATTAGAGTGCCTTTGTGTGTGAGCAGCTCACTAGTTAGACGAGGTCTGCCCAGCTGGATGTGTATCAGTGCTGGCATGAAATTAAATGAAAGTGAGGTCAGGTTTTGGACCATTCCCATTCACCAAAACCTCCAAGCCTTTTGGATTACTAGTCAGAGACAGCACTGGGCATGAAACTGCCTCTTTTAGCAAAAGACATCAGATCCATCAGCTACTGCAGACAAAGAGGGCTTATCACTTTTTCCCTCTCCACTGCGGCCGTTAAGTGGACAGTTAGTCAAAGGGTTGTTTGAGATGCAAGCCTGGTGGTGGGAAAGGTGACTAGAGTTTATTAGCAGACTCTTCCTCTTTGCCTGTGGCACATTTACTACCATTCTGTCCCAGCAGGAACACAGCAGCCCAGCTCTGCGCCTCCAGTACTCTTACTTCAGTCTGTTCCCTGATGAAAGGAGCTAGGCTGGGTGACAGAAAGTGTACCCAGTGCTTCAGCTGACTTGTTAAGTGGAGAGGGAATCTTGGGCAGATTGCTTAAGCCCACAGAGGTGACAACAGGGGTGATGAGATGAAGGGTGCGTGATAACTGGTGGGCACTAGAGATGCACAGTATTAGTCCCTACCCTTTCCCTGAGGCCCCTGAGTGGCTAAGTGACTAGGTCCCCAGTTTCTCATGAGACAGGGTGAGCCATGATCCCAAAATTGTCTTCTGCAATGAGTGCGCTGTGGTTTCAAGTCCTGATCATCTACCTCCCATTTTTACTATCTCAAATACATAGATGCTGACGATCTCTGAGGAATATGTACCTCCGGAACACACCAAGCCAGCCATTTCCCATGACGTGCCCAGAAATGGCTCAGTCCAGGCTTGCCCAGCAAGGGAAGGGTGATTACAAAGGCTCCAATATTGGGTGAAGAAGGGGCCTCCCTCCAGCAGCGTAATGGGCTACTCCCTCCTGGGGCTGAGCTGATGGGGAAAATGGTCAGTGGCTGACTTCCCTGGCATGGGAGTACCCCTGGGGTTCTCAGCCAGGATGCTTAGTTATGGAGGGTTTCCCAGGTCTGTCCATCCCCAAGCGGCCAGGATTCAGTGTCACTGCATTGACTGCTGGCTTCTGAGAGACAATAAAACACTATGGCCAGACTTGACCTTAGAGCTCATGCAGTACTGTCCTCCTCTTGAAAAAGGAAAACCAGAAAAAACTAATAGCTACTAGTTATAAAGCACTTGAAATTCAGTCTAATCCTATAGCTATTCATCTTTTTTAAACATTTATGCAAGTTTTACTATTCACTCCAAGATCTTTTTCTTGCCATAAATCAGTTTACATAAATGGTTTTTCAAAAATTAATTAATAGGCTGTGTGTGTACTGGGGATCAAACTGAGGGCCTCATGCATGCTAAGCAAGTATTCTACACTGAACTATACTCCCAGCCATACTGGACTGTTTTATAGATGGAAAAAAATCATCCAGGGAAGTGTGCAGGGCGAAGTGACTGACTAGTCATTTATGAAGTCAGAAGTCTAGCTGGGTGTGGTGGCAGCACATGCCTATAATCCCAGTGCTTGGGAGCCTGAGGCAGGAGGATTGCTTCAAGTTTGAGGCCAGCCTGGACTACATAGTGAGTTGAAGGCCATAACAAGATCCTAAACTGCATAATGAGATCCTATGTCAAAAAAAAAAAAGCTAGCAGAGTCCAGCATCCAAGTCCATGGCTCCCAGTTCATCCCAGTTCAGAGCTGGCTGGTTGGCTGGCTTGCTTGCTTTGTCTCTTTCTTCTTTGACAGATGGTCTCACTATACTGTTCAGGCTAGCCTTCATCTCATGGTAATCCTCCTGCCTCAGCCTCCAGAATGCTGGGGTCACTGGCTGTGTGCGCCACCACACCCAGTTTAGGCTTCTTTCCAATAGCTCAGCACCATCACACAGAGTCCAACATTGTTCAGTGCACAGCTCTGTACATATACTGTAATGTGAATGACACCTTTGCATTTGCCAAACTGGTGGCCCTGGAAAACTGTGCCCTGGGTGACTAAGCTAGGAAATGCCAGGTATGCTGTAACTGTTTTCCCATAAAACAAAGATAGCTGTTCACAAAATAAGAACGTTCTGGGTGAGACAAAAAACTATAGTTACCAACCAAATAAATAGAAGTGGATCAATTGGTGAATAAGTGATTTGGAGAAAAGAATGCCACACCTTATAGAGGACTTGGGAGTCTACCATCCCAAAATTTCATTCTAAATTAGGCATAAATTTTACATTTGGATTCAAATTTTATCTTTTTTTTTGTCCTCTTTCTTTTTCCAGCTCAGAAGCAGAAACATGGAGGGAAGATCAGGCACCACTTTCCTATCCAGCAAAGTCTGTGTTGAACCCTGTGATCCCTTTCTTCCAATCAGGAAAGTGTTACCTTGGCAACCAAATCACTAACTCACTCAATTAGCTCCCCCCTCTTCCACCAATGCTCAGTAATCACAGAATGTCAGCCCCGGGAGAGCTCGGGCTTTGGCAGTCTTGTGCTACTGCCTCATTTAGGATGGAAATCCAGAGAGGTTTCCACTTGGAGGTGCACTCCATCTAAACCCCACAAAGGCTGATGCAGGCAAAGGGAAAAAACTCTCCTGTGCAGTAACTGCTAGGAGAACAAATGGCCTGCCTAGAACAGTGTTTCCCAGAAGACATAATAGACAAGACTAGGGCTCTGCAGCAGCCCTCCTCTGCTAGCTGTGTGCCGTTTGGGACAGGATTCATAAACTTGGCAATCTCAGTTAATTCATCTGCAAAAGGGGTAAGTATAGAGCCCACTTGAAAGAGCTATGTGAAGGTGAGATACTGTGTGGAAAGCAAAGAATAAAACATCGTTCCCAAAAGCTCTGAAAGTTATTGCATTGAGGCCACTACTTGGAGTCTTTGAGTCTTTTGTTGACCTGCCTTTTAATGACTTCTTTAACATATTATCACATTTTGTGGGGTTTTTTTGGGGGGGTACCAGGAATCAAACTCACGACCTCAAGCTTTCTAGGCAGGCGCTGTGCCGTGGAGCTATATCCCCTGCCCACATTTTGTGTATGCAGTTCTTGGTTGGTTGGTTGGTTTTGTTTGAAGTGAGATGTGAACCCAGAGTTTCCCACATTCTAAGCAAAAACTCTACTACTGTTGAGCTATATCCCTAGACCTAATTTTTTTTTTTTTTTTGAGACAGAGTCTCACTAGATTGCCTAGGCTGGCCTTGAATTTGAGATTCTCCTGCCTCAGGCTCCTGAGCAGATGAGATGGCTTTACAGAAGTGCACCAACCCCTTAATCTGTTTCTTAAAAAGCACAAACCTCTTTCCCCTGAAGGTCATACCAAAGTCTTGACCAGGTACCCCAGTTGCATAGGTAAATGTTAAAGGAAGCTTAAAGGAAGAAAGTCTAGAAGAGATTCAAGGGGAAATGAAGCCTCAAACTGTGGCATGCACCTATAATCTTGACACTCAGAAAGGCAAGTCCAAGCCCAGATGGGCAAATTAACAATTTACTGAGAGAAATCAGTAAATTTCCAATTTACTGTCTCAAAAACTGCACAACTTTTGGGCATGGTGGTGCATACTTGTAATCCCAGCACTTTGGAGGCTGAGGCAGGAGGACTGCTGTGAGTTTGAGTCCAGTTTGGGCTACAAGGTGAGTCCAGTTTGGGCTACGAGGTGAGTCCGAGGCCAGCCTGAAGTGCATAGCAAAACCCAGTCTCAAAAAGACAAAAAACAAACAAACACCCATTGAAAAGGGCTAGGGATGTAGCTTAGTACAAAGGCCCTGGGTTCAATGCCTAGTGCTGCAAGGGGAAGAAAGGAGAAAGAGTGGAAGTCACCTTTGAACAAAGTGTGGAAAGCAGCACAGAGTTGGAAGCTGGGAAGTAGGGGCGGCAGCAGTGTCACAAAGGGTAGGTGTACAGGGAGGGCAGCCTGGGGCATAGCTCTTAAGACCCTCCATTTCCTACTAGAAAGCTTATCCCCTTCTAATTCAATTTCCGTGCTCAGCTGAAGTTCAGTTTTTCTGCCTGGTCCACTCCTGTCTACAATTTGTACTGAGAAAATTGTGCAGTGTTGTTTTTTTTTTTTTAACAGGAAGTGACCTTTGAGTTCATTTTTTTCTCCCTCATTTTATTTATTATCATTATAGAATTATCTCCTGGGCTCATACGTGCATGTCTTCTTCCTAAAGAGATTACGTATTCTTTGATGGCAGAGAGATGACAAGATGAAGAGGATGTTTTGGGGAGATTGTCAGGCCACACGGTGCTGGGGAATGGACCAGGGTTGAGGAGGAACATTTATGGGCAGGCAGACCTGGGGCTGGCTGTTACAGCATGCAGGAAGCAGGCGATAAAGGCCTGGATGGAAAGAGAGAGGAAAAGACAAGAGGGACATTTTGAAAAGAAAACCCACAGGCTTCAGTACAGTGCTGTGTGGCCATAAAAATGTGGGCTTTGGAGCCAGACTGCCTGGCTCCTTCCTTTAGAGCTCCTTCCTGTAACCTTGGGCAGGTTTCTTCACTTCTCCAACCTCACAGATCCCCACTACAAAGGCCCATAACAATAAAAGTCCCTTTCTTATAAAGCTGTTGTAAGGGTTAGTTGAAGTAATGCTAGTAAAAATGCTTAGGCTACTGTCTGAAACAGCTGTGTAGTAACAACACCTAGATATTGGCATTCAGTAGATACTTACAGAGCAAACAAATGGGGCAATTTCAACAGACTGGCAGAGGCCAAGGGAATGGGGTACTTGGAACAGAGATGATGAGCTGAGGTGCCTACAAGTCTGAAGATGGGAAGGGAGGGACACCTGCTAAAAAGGGAAAACAGAGGGCTGAGAGTGTGGATCAGTGGTAGAATCCTTGCTTA